CTAGAGCAAAATTTTGTGTAGAACAATTTTGCTTAGTAGCCTAAAGGTTGTTTACTTAATAAAATATTTAGTTATAATAAAATATTTTTGAGAAATTTTAGTGCAAGTGATCTACAGTAAGAGTTCTGACAATCTAGATTTTAATAATATATTTATTTTATTTTATTTAAAAAAATATTTAGTTATAATAAAATATTTTTGGGAAGTTTTAGTGCAAGTGATCTACAGTAAGAGTTCTGATAATCTAAATTTTAATAATATATTTATTTTATTTTATTTAAAAAAATATATATTATAATAAATAAAAAAGAATAACTATATAAGGTCTTTGCCTTGAAAATCAAGTATGAATTATATGATTTACTATATACTATAACATCATTTTCAAGGCAAAGACCCCATATCAAATCACATCTATTTCTGTAAAATTAATTATTTTGATAATCATTATATGCGTATCGCTAGTCTTATGACTGATCAATCAGAGAAATCAAAACAAAAAAATAATGACTTATTAAGTTTAGGGTTAGGGCCAAGGTTACATTAAGGTAGAGTTAGTGATATATAGTAGTAAAGACATTTTTAACTCAAAATTTTGCAAGAAATTTTTTTTATTAGAACACAGAAAGTAGTTTCATAAGTAAAATTTTGCATTATAAGTGATTTCTTGAAAAAATAGTGATTTCACGTTACAACTGATCTTAAATTCTGATTAGTCAGTCATGGACTAGCATTGTGCTGGCAATAAATGATTACTTTCTTATAAAAAACTATCATTTATTAAAAATTTATTTCATAATATATAAGAGAGAATTGATTTTTCTTATTAGAATCAATTAACTCACCAAAATCGATTTTAAATTTCAAAATCGATTCTTAGAATCGATTAATCGATTTTAAATTTTAAAATTGATTTTTAAAATTGATTTTAAAGTAATCGATTTTCAATAATCGATTCCCATCCCTAATCAGGAGGCATTTGATAACAGAAGTGAAATTCAAGACCATTTACAGATACATTATCCATAAGCCTCGTAAGAATATCATTCAAATAATTAATATCAATAAATTTTAGCTGTTCTTCAGGCTGATTTTCATCTATTTCAGCAAGTTTCTTTCGTTTCTAAAGATTTTACATCCTTTGCAGTAACGAGTCGATATTGATTCTATATTAAAAGTAAATATGAAAAAAAATTAATAGGAAAAAGATTTTTTGTACGTATAAAAAAAAAAACCATTAACGAACAATATTTATTACGATATATTAATCAAAAGTATACAATATTTATTTCGTTATAATATTAACTAAGTGTATACATTTATTATGACATAATATTAACTAAGAGTATACTATATTTTATTGCGCATAATAACAAACTCACGAACTCTGAATGTAGCTCTTTCTTAGCTTCGAGATAACTCATAAGCCACACTGAATCACGTGCTCGTGATTTTTTAGGTATTATATGATTGAATTCGAAGAAAATTTCTGAAAGTAAGTTAAATAATTATCATGTAACTTTATTAAATGTATGTTAAATTAAATTAATTTATTTATAAAGTTTATCAATAATACGAAATAAAGAAAAGTATTAGCAGTAAAAATGTTACAATAATCCTCTTGTATCTTGTGAACAATCAACTTTGCAATAAAGGAGGATAAATATTATCGAAAGCTATATTTTGGGTAATGATTGTAGAATATATGGTTAACTCAAAACACAGAAACAATCAAATATACGATGGTATTTCAATATGCAAAGAATGGATCTAGAATTATTTTTTTTTAAAATAAAAGAATTAAATAATTTAGAAAGATGTATTTACAGAGTTATTTCTTATATTGCATATAAGATTCTATCTAGCAGAAAGTTTACAAAATCAACAAAAATTTATAGGTTTAAAATCATTCAAATGAAGATTTTTGTTTTATTATATACAATAAGTTATAACAAAATAAAAATTTATCTATACAAAAATTTTATAAAAATTTTTATTTTATAGTATTATAACTATATTTTCTCTACATGATTCAAAAGTGAACTTCAAATATCCATAGGCCTAAGTATAAATTTCAGTATTATATTCTTCTTGATTTGTTCGTTCTAGTGAATTGACCCGTTAAAAAAAAACGCCACCCGGGTGATCGGGTAACCCGATTGACCCGGGTAGAAATCTGCAACCCGGCCTGCATTAGCATAATGCAGGCCAAAAATTCATGTGCACGAAATTCGAAAACATAAATTTGCCCATCACTAGTCCTGTGAATAATTTAACCCGGATTACTATAAAAATTATCGTTGCAGTTGAGTTTCAAATTAAAAATTAGACACTTATTTCGAAAGAAATAAGTAATTTATTTGTTTAAAAATAAACGACCTATAAATTCTATTTTATAATAAGTGTAAGTTTATTTATTAAACGACACTTTTACTACCTGCTACATCACTGAAAAAGTTTACATCTTTCATAATTTAAACGCTGCTATTTCATTTTCTGATTTCAAAATTTTAAAATACAAATCCGATTCCTTAAACCCCTACTGCTACTTATTTTAGAAATTAATTGATTTTGAAACCTCTTTTTATAAATGTTTATTCTTGCCGCCAGCTAAACATATGAGCAAAAATTTCCAGCGCTGTGGTTATTGAAATTAGGTGATAACACATAAACAGCTTAGCTCAAATGATTTGAAATTGGTCAGATTCAGGTTAATTTGGGTTATTCTAACTAACTTGTTCGGATCACTCATAAATGCATATAACGATAAGCAATTCATAAGCAATTCATAAACAATTTACGATCATTGATCAAATCATTACACCATATTTTATATATTATTGGCTAAATTCTATTTAATCTCATCGTTTAATCTAAATAATCACAGAGATTGGAGATTTCCGTTAATACTGTATATTATAATTCTGCAGTGTAGATAGATATAAATTGGACAAACCAAAGTGAAAGTTTTCCTATTGAGAACGGGCGGTTTGGTCACCGGGACCAAACAGATAGTATAATCGATCAGCAACCAGACGACCATATCGAAAGAGTTGGCAGGCGGATGTTCTAAAGCTTAGGTCGTCTCTCCTACTACTAAGGGACAGCTCAATTATCACTTCGGGGGGGTACGGTAATCATGGATTAGTCTATGGACTTCGCAAAGATAATTCTACTAT